GCTATAAAGATACATAAGTTAAATATATTCGACGGAAATAACTGTCAACTCTATAAGATTGCCCATGTTTTTTTCACTGAATCACCAATTTTTATAAGTTGACAATAATAATCATTTGATATGACTTAAGTAGATTTGTTGATATCTCTTTTTCTTAACATATCTCTCAAGTGGAGGCTTGAATTCTGTACGGCGTACGGTGCCCGTCTCTGTCGAATGATATACAGATGTACAGTGTTGCCAGATGGGACCTGTACATGCAGATATAGTAATAAATATATAATCATCCTCATGAGTCCTTTGAATTTAACCTTTTTATACACACTTTTCACACGCATCTCTTGTTGGGTATATGGCCATGCAAATACCCTAGAATTAACTGTGGACCATTTTGTGAGGTCTGCTCATCCAGTGACCTTGCGTAATGCCAAATTGACAGCAGCTACAAACGGCAGCACCAAATGACACAACAACAACAACAACAGCAGCAGCAAACAGAGAGTCGTTAAAGCCAAAAAGGAAGAGGAAAAGCAATGGATATTAAAAACAAAAACAGATACAGAGACAGCGAGGAGCAACAAAAGTTCTCAGGTAACCAATGGATTGGTTCAAGTTAGTGATTGCAGAGTTTAATAGCCGCATTATTACAGCCAAACAGATCCATGCAAAAGCCATAAAAACAAAAAAAAAAAAACTGCGACTGCGACTGTGGCTGAGGCTGAGACTGAGGCAGCAGCACGTTCGCGCTGCCTTGCCCCAAACGGAGGCAGCAACAGCAGCGGCAGCCGCATAAAGCAGTTGCAACTGCAACATTAATGCGCTGCAAGTTAATGAATATTGTGTTTCATAGCCATCCAGCAGCAGCAGCAGCAGCAGCAGCCGCCGCAGCAGAAGGCCGAGTCGAGCCTTTAACAGCTTCCGACTGGAATCCGTTTGTTGACTGCTGCAGCTCAATAGAAAGAGAGACAGACGCAGAGAGTGAGAGAGAGAGGGTGGGGGGGAGAGAGAGAAGCGATGCAATCTCGTGGCAGCTTGTGCTCATGCTTATAGATCGAATGAGCCGCTGACGCCCGTGGAAGGTCGTGCACGCCATCAACAACAGATCAGAGCACGACACACTTGCGCCTATGCAAGCGCCGTCGTCTCCGCAGTCAACCCCAAAGACGGAGCCAAGTGTAGGCGTAATTGTTTTATGTTGTGCGCTTCGCTACGGCAAGCAGCCAGTGCAACAGATAGAGAGAGGCACAGCCAGAGAGGACGAGCCAGAGAGAGAGAGAGAGAGGTGAAGCGGGGGTGAGTGAGAGCGAAAAGTTACGAGCTGGAAGCTGGCATTGCTTGGGCTTGGCTTCGTTCCAGAAGCAGCATGCCTTTTAAATTGGCCGACCGTACCGCCTACCCAGCCAACGCCAACGTCGACTCCAGCTCCAGCTCCAACTTCAACTTCAACTCCAAGTGCGACTCCAACTCCAACGCCATTGCCATCAAATGGCTGCAAGTTGCACTTGACTCGCGCCGCATGCAGCATCAAGGAGGCATGCGGCATCCCTTGGCCCAATGAGCGCATTTTCAATTTTATGCTAATTAGTTTGGATGCGACTGCAGCGGGCCCAGTTGGGCCCAGGTGCGAGCGCCCGCAGTGGCCACCATTCAATGTGCAACGCCTCGAACGACGCCTCAACGCGCCCTCGAACTGCATGAATGAATGAAACGCTGCCCCCATTAATGGGCCACAGACGGCGGGCAGCCTCTGCACCTGCGACGGTTCCTTGCCCAAATCTAGGTAAACAAACATTGCATCGAATTATCTTGTCTAAAGATTTGTTGTTTTTTATTTATATGATATGCATCTATCCAGGTGGAACTATCTTTAAGAGTGTTTAAGCTAGTGTTAGTCAGATATCCTTTTTTTCAAAAGCGCGATGAAGGTGGGTGAATGAGACACAGTAGGAAGAAGAATTCAGATATGGAGAAGGAAATAAAATAAAAGAAAATGCATAGATTGAGAGTAAAACGGAATGAGAAAGAGGCAGAAAACTGAAGTTGCTCAGAGGAAGAGAAAGAAAAAGAGAGTGGAGGAAGGAAAGCGAAAAATATTCATAGAGATAGAAGTAGAGAGAGATACAGAGGGAGACCAACAGAGAGCAAGAATAAGATTTTTAGAGAATTAACAATTGAGAATTGAGGAATTTGAAGATTACAGAACTTGAAGATTACGGAATCAGCGAATTATTTCATTAGACTTGCATATACAATTGAAGAAAGAGAGCATGGCGAAATGGGAGAAGAATAGAGATAGGAAAATAATGGGAGGCCGACAAAAGAATATAGAAATGAGAGATAGCTAGAGTTAGATAGATTGAGGAAGACAAATAAGCAATAGAGAAACCTTTATAGGCCGATAAATATAGAAAAGAAGATAAAAAGATAATAATATAAGAAGCCGGTCAGAGAGAAAAGATAGGAAAGAGAAATATATAGGAACATAACTATAAACAACATAGACAAAGAAAAAGGGATATGGCAAATAGAGAAGGAGCTAAGATAGACAGATGCTCACAGAGATTAACTATTAGGAAGATATGCAAAGAGAGCGACAGAGAGAGAGAGAAAGCGAGAGAGAGGGAGAGAGCGAGAAAGAGGGAGAGAGCGAGAGAGAGAGAGAGCTAGAGAGAGGGAGAGAGAGCTAGAGAGAGGGAGAGAGACAGAGAAAGACAGAGAAACCCAGAGAGTATTAGAGAGAGGCAGAGGATGACAGAGAGAGACACAGATAGAAGTATTATTGTTTTTATTAGTAAATATTAATTTTATAATTAGCATATAAAGGTTTATATCTTCTACTATTCCATTGGCAATACCCTTTAAAAGAGTTTTGCTCTCCTTTTCTCTAACGGAATTTGGGCATATTGAAAAATTCCGAAATCCTAAGACAATAAGATAAGATAAGACCTAATCAGTCGACCTGAACTCTGTGACAAATTTTCCACAAATCACTTCTAGCTGTGGGAAAAGAATCACAATAGGCGATCGGGCTAGCCCAGTAGGTGCAACTGATATGCCCTTGGTCAGCTGAAGAACAGGGTATTCAATTTGAATTAAATAATTACGCAACTATATGAAGCGAATACGGGGTGCAAGGCATTATTTTTGGGTTGATTAGCAGCGTTTGCTGCAGCTGCGTATGGAAATGAGGCAGAAGCTGAAGAGCAAGAACAAGAACAAGAACGGCGAGAGATTTCATGAGAATACAGTCCATATTGCGCTGAGAGGCCCCAAGCAATTGCAACTTTAATTGAACCCAATGAAAATTATGGACAAGCAAATTTTCCCACAGATTGCCAAAGGTTTAACGATATTTTGCGTTTTTTTTTTTTTTTTGCAATTTTTTTTTTTATTTCGAACGTAATGAGCCTTTAAGTCAAACGTAGACCTGACAGCTTCAATGGCTTAAACGTAGCACAGAAGCTGCAACTAACCACAAATCACAATAACACCCATGCCACACACACACACACACACACATGCATATGGAGTGAGGTGAGTGTGTGTGGATGTGGAAGGGAACGCATAATCATTATCACTCAAATTGGGGGCCCCCTCGTGTGTGTGTGTGTGTGTGTGTGTGTGTGTCTGCCCGATCCAAAGACCAATTATATATTGAAACCCAGAGACGAGACCAAAGAGAGTGAGTGAGAGAGGGAGAGGGGTGGAGAAAGAGAGAGTGTGTGATCAGCATATTCGTATATGCATATGAGCTGGTCCGGCACTTAAACGATCTACAACCATGAAATGGGCAGATCCCGGCATCGAAAATCCCAATTCGAATACCGTAACTTAAGCCCATGAATTAAGCGGCCGCAGCTGATGATGAGAACCAAGCCAAAGCTCAAACTCAAACCCAAACCCGAACTCAAAGCCAAAGCCAAAGCCAGAGCCAGAGACGAATTGGAATCGATGTCCAGCGACGCTGACCACCACGACTCCACAATATGCAACTCGAATTTCGCGTGTGTGAAAGAGAGAGGGCGAGAGAGTAATGCGGCTAGGCGGTACCAAATTTATAACTTAGATCATAAGTGAACCTCTCGACGCGCGCATAGAGCAGCATCGCCTCGAGCTTAATAAGTGCATTCGCCGGCAGCTGAAGCGTTTCAGGCAAATTATAGTCCACATACAGACGATCAAAGATAGTTTTCGGCTAAACAAACGTTTAGATAGGCTAGATGCACGTATATAGAGTTGTCATACGAAATGATCGTTTTAAACTACATTCAACATATAAAGTTATGGTATATGATATAGGTATCTATCAAACGCTGCGTTTGTACAATTTCCGAGGCCATCTTTGCGATTCTCATAAGATCAAACGTTGGCTATTTGTATTATATATAGCTAATTTATTGGTATTCACTTGGTATATTACTTTCACTCAACTAAACTATACTCAAATTTTCTAGATTACTAAATATTTCACACCCCCACACTCTCTCTCGCTCTCTTTCTAACACGTCATCTTAACTTTGAGCTAGAGATCCATTTCGCCTTAATATATCAGAACTTACATGTATTAATATTTTCAAATATTTATATATCTCACGTGTGATTACAATAATACCTATATAAATCAGATCAATATTTATAACTAATTACTCGCGCCTTCCAAATATTCTATTCGTCCACCATAGTCGTATACTACAACCATTTGGCAGCTTTCAAGCTCTTCACCACACCGTATACACATACCTTTGCTAGCGTCATCTACTGCAACGCTTAAACAACTACTACTTAGTCAATGCACGCACCATGCATGCTTGAAAGCACCGCATTAGCATAGACATACACCACAGTGCTCGCACTGAACGCAGCTAGATACTCATACAACGACGAACATCACACGAACTTAACGAATCGACCGAACACTGAACGAAAACTGAAAGAAATTGAACGAAATGTGCCCGCTGTTAGTTAACAGGCAAATTTTCAGATTCAAAATACATGCGACTTTCGTGGTGAGCGGACGTGTTTTTTTTTATTATTGTTGGTTTTGTTGCTTCTGCCCAAGTACTCGACGTTTGAGTACACCGCTTAGTGCGCGTCGTAGATTGTGTTTATTGTTGTGAGTACTGCAAGCTGTTGTTGTTGTTGTTGTCGTCGTTTTGGTAATTGCCTGCCATACAAACACACACACACAAACACGCAGCTAAGTCAGTCATGAATTGGAATCGGTGCGCGCGGTCGTGTGTGTGACGGTTTGTTGTATCTGCAACTGCATCTGTATTGTTGTACCAACGTATATTTTCGTTACGGTAATATTCGTACATATTGTACTTTTTTCTATCATATTTTTTTACTGTTTTTGTTGTAGTCATGAAACGTTATTAGAAATTGACGACAAGACACGCCAAATTAATAACACAGCCCAGACGTGATATGTGTATGTGTGTGTGACTGTGTGCTATTGTATCTATGTGCACATGTGTGTGTGTGTAGTGTGTAGTGTAGCTGTATCTGCAGCCGTGCATCCGCAGCAGCGGCTGTGCTTAAGCAAGAGTTTTGAACGAGACCAAGTTGGATGATTCTTATTGGATTGTTGTGGTTGTTGTTGGTGCCGCTGCCGCTGCTGTTGTTGCTATTGTTGTTGCTGCTGTTGCTGTTGCGTTGCCGGTGAATGAACCCAACCGAAAAAAAAAACGCACAACAAACGTACGCGACGTAAGTTTATGTGCGTGTGTATGTGTGTGTGCGAGTGTGTGAGACCACAAAATGGTGGTAGAAGGTAGAAGAGCATTAAACATTTCTCGAAATATTAACCCAACTGTGCACAACGGCATAAAGCCTCAAACAACAGCAACAATAATAATAACAACAACGAAAGGGAAGTAAGAAAAAGTCAAACGAGCAAAAGCGTCCGCCGTTTTGTTTAATGTCTTTTTTCACAGTTGCTTTTTGTTGTTTAAAAACAACAATAACAATAGCAGAAAAAACAATGGCAACAGCAGCAAACAATTATCATTTACATTCTATCTCTCCAATTAGAACTTACACTCACACACGCACACATGCATACTTGTTATCTTATCAGTTATAATCGTTTGCAATCTGTTGGCAACATTTGCGCGCAACACAAAAAAAAAAAAACATCAAAACAGCTGCCTTTGAAATTGACTGACTAACTAAAGCTGTGCATATACACCAATACTTATACATAACATGCATGTATATAACACTTTTGTTATATACACGTATGTAGATTTACATAGCTGCATGCTACATGCATTACTCAGAGCTTTTATTTTTTTTTCGTCTGCGTGTGCCATATCCGATAGCCGATACCGGTTTAAGGTCTTAAGGATTCGCAACTCGATTCGCAGAAAGCGGGGTGCGCCAAAAGGTGCTCTGCCTCTCGCTCTCTCTCACTCTGCCGCTCGCGCTGCCTCTGCCAGCAGCTTGTCTTCGTCTTCTACTTCGGTTTCTTCTGCTGCCTGTGCTCAGTGCTGCTCGAGTCAAAGCTAAACGTATGCAAAAAAAAGGCTAAACAATTGTTGGTGCAATCAAACAAACGAAAGTGCCTTTATTTACTTATGAAATTGACATCATTCTACAAATATAAATAAATATATATGATAACCAAATGAGTAATATATCAGTTATATTTGTATACATATTTTAATGATTAATTATGCAGTGCAGCTAATGTCAGTAAATTTAAAGCTACTTTTAGCAGTTAGCCTTGCAGAAAAGTAGCTAAACTAAAGTGTATTGAATATATTTTGTTTTTTGTTTTTTTTTTTTTTTTGGTAATATAAGTGATAAAGTAAATAAGAAGAAGCTACTGAATGTGTGTAAACATTTTATCATCATAAACTTTTTTGTTTGTTCAAAATATACTTAAAATAATGAATTCGAAAACAAGCCAAATGTGACACTTAACAAAAAAAAGTAACTAAAAAGCGGCTAAGTTAGCTTAGCCAAGCTGGCATTTCTGAGCGCTCACCGGCTTGGCTCAGTGCACACGAAACAGTTAAAAGTTCAGGCTTCAAAATTAAAGTTCGCTCCGGTCACATGAGAATGCTGTGAACACAGCTGTACTGGGCGAGTGCTGCGGGCGCTGCGTACTGGCTCTAAAAATGTTCAAATACTACGAATCGAAAGCGCCTTATCATCACACTGTCAAGGTGAATCTGCTATACATACATACATACATACATTCATATGTACATATGTAATCTAAGTGGTTCACACTTCTTGATGTCTGTATATATGTGAATATAGATATGCCGCATACAACAAATTATGATTTATGGGCAAAGCAAAGGCAATTGCCAACCTTCGCTATAGCAATCATATGTGTGTATGTATGTACATATATAGGGGTATGTCTGTATGTCCGTTCTTAAATTTACTGTAGACTTCAGTTACATAGAAGTGTGCACATAAATTTGACTAAAAAACGCTAAATTGCCGGCAAAAGTCACACACAGCGTTTTCTTTATGCTTTATACATACCTAGGTACATACATATATGTATATAATTTTGTACCTCTTTTTTAGCTGTTGCTTCTTTCTTTTCGTTATTTTGTCCATTGTTCAGTTTTTTGTTACTTCTGAAAATCTTGCATAACTACAAAGGTACACACAGTGGGTAAAAATGAAATAAAAAATCATAATTATAATATGTACGCGGCGTGCGGTGGAGGGAGAAAGAGAGAGGGAGAGGCAGAGCACACAAAAATCAAATAATAACCCAGCCGTGAGCTTTCATTTGTGTGTGTGTGTGTGTGTGTGTGCATGTACTTGTGTAATCAGCATGAAACTTGTTGTTGTTGTGTGTGTGTGTGTATGTATGTAGTTCATATGAATTTGGTGTATGGGCGGCTGCTGTAATCGTTCGTAATCATTTAAGCCGGCGCCCATAGAAAGCTACAGACGCACAAACATACATGTATGTATGTGTATGTAGATATATACTATAGTAGTAAGCATATATAATATTTATATTATATGTGATATACAAAACGCTGTGTGCAAGCATCTGTATAATCGTAATTGCCAGCGATATCTGGCTACCTTCTATGCATATATAAATACTATATACAAGCACACATACATTCATATGCACTCATCTATGCGGTACCTAAAAGCCAGACAGAGCTCAGCCATATAAATGAGGTAGGGGTAGGGATAGGGGCTATGGCAAGGGAGGCGCTGTTTGGAAGGGGCAGACACTTCATAAAGCTGGGTTAGTAGTTCACCTGTTGATTGCATTGCTGCTCGCGACCGCACAGTGAGTGAAATTTGATACATACACACACACACACGCATACACATTCACTGAAACTCACTGAATTATCAATTTAACGGCTCTTTTGCAACTGCAATTGCACAAGTAGTGCACTAACAGCAAAGGGTAGGAAGAGTGGGAGAGGGGGGGCGGAGATTGGGGGATTGAGTCGGCAGGAAGGGCGACAGACAGAGCGAAACAACTTAACTTTAACCTGAGCTACGAGTTGGCTCTGACGTCATGGACACAGTGGAGTAAAATAAAGATAGCGAGAGCTAGATAGTATATACACATACATACATATATAAGACTCTAGATCATATACATATATACCTTTAAACTTTCTATGTAAAGAGTACATTTCCATTATTGAAATATCCTATATAAGTCCCTATGATAGAGTAGTTTAACATGGAGAGCTGATAAATCTACTAAATATCAGGTTTATACATATATATTACGTTCCAGTGTTGATCGATGATTACTCTGACAGCTATATGATATAGTGCTTCGACTCAACCAATTTCGATCTATAAAATAATTAAGCTATATTGTATTTCATATTACAGACGTCTATTGGTATTGATCTTGAAAATATATACAATCTATGTATATACTATATATGAGTAGACATTAAGTAATTTAATATCTATATCTAATAGACCTACACATATGGTCACAGATATCTGTCTCTGGTCTTACATACATCGTACAGTGGGCACACGATGACGTGACCAACTTGCTGCTAGCTAATCACTGAATTGTCTCCATTTATGGTGCGGCCGTTAAATCAATCAATATCTCATCACTCGACAGTCCACTAAAAAGTTGCCACTAAAAATTGAAGACATTCGAGCCATTCTAACTTTTTGATGGGCCTGTGACATTGTCACGAATCTCTCAAAGTCACAATTAATGCGAAACATGTTGAGTTGTAAAGCCAGGCACAGTGGGAAAAAAGTTACAGTAAAACGAGCTGGAAAATGAAATCCATATCAAATCAAAGAAATGTATGCGTAACACCCATACCCAGAGCTCAATGTACTACTCAAACATATATAGTGCTCGGGCCAGCTGGCCCGTCACATAACTGAACTATCTGCTATATGCCGCATTCCACACGTTTCTCGCAAGTCGAGTCCAAATTACGTAGCTTTCATATTCAATGCTCTCAACTATATCTATGTTACTCTGTACTTTATATAGAATTTTTCCCAAAATATAACCCAATTTCAAATACCGCTCATGAATTTCTGCATACATAGTTCTTTCCATATGCAAATGGAGATAGACGTAGATGCTCCAGTAATTTCTCAATTGAACTTAATTAAAAGTGCATCGTAGGCACTGCAATTGTCTACGTATTTCTTGAGAACCTATTTCCATATATAGTATATATGCGGATAGGCTAAGATGGTTGGATAAAGTCTATTTATAGTGCATAGTTTATATTCAAAGACATTCACAGAACTAGTATTCGGATAAGGTCTATCTATAACTCAATCTACACTCAGATATGCTCCAGATAAAGTCTATCTACATTCACATAAGCTAAGGTAGTTCGATACCCGATATTTGGATCAAATCTATCCATGCAATAGTCAACATTCACAAAATTTCGGACATTCCGATAAAGTCCGACATTTAGATAAGTTAATATATGTGTATAAAGTCTATCTATACTAATATATACATTCAGATAAGTTAAGTGACTCTATTATAAACATTTTATTGAGTCTCTCTATACTAATGTTCACATTCAGATAAGTTAAGATATGGGGATAACATCTATCAATACTAATGTCTATATTCAGAGAAGATAAAAGAGTCTATTTAAATATAGTCCACTCATACTGTCTATTCAGATAAGCTCCGACGTTTATATGTATTAGATAAGTCCAGTTGCTCTCTGGGTATACCCCTTCCTTATTACACTAGACACTTCATTGAGCTCTCCCATATCTGCAGCTAATTTCGTATATAATAATCAATTTTTCCGCTATTTGTACGATTTGTAATGTGAGAGCTCGTAAACAATAGAGAGAATTGAATGCGCATTCGCAATGGCATTCTAGAGGCATGCATAAATTCATGAGGTCTGTTTGTCTGGCTTTTGGTTTCGCAATTTCTGTCTCAATTTTCTTTCAGCGAGTCGGGGCTAATCGAATTACCTTAAACAATATCGAAGACGGTTTCATTCATAACTGCAATTCAACCAAACAGTTCGTGTCTTCACTGTGCCTAGCGAGTGCGAAGCTAGTGCACTGGCGTTTTAGTGGGTCAATCTGGGAGGGGGATGATGTGGGTATGGGGCATTAGAATGGCGTCATCTTTTAACAATTAATCGATGCCAAGAATTAAGTAATCGCAATTGACTTGAGTTTACTGCAATTGCCATGAGTTATATGTGTATGTATGTATATCCATATACATATATCTCCAAATACATACATCTATGTTAATATGCGTATCTGTATGCTTATAAGTCGGCTAGAATATTGGATAGTAAGGTCAATAGATGACGTATGCACAATGCGCAATTAAAGATTCATTCGACTCACTGCACAGATTGAGCAGCGGGGACGCCCAGAGCCATAGACATGTGCATATCATTATAAATACAAGACAGCGACAAATCCATGGCACGACTAGAAGATACCCTGTAAATTGAGTGATTCCAATTGATTGAAGAGATCGGCTTAAGACTTTGTAGTAGAAAATAGAATTAAAATACATTAAAGAGAAATGATCCATGGCACGACTAGAGGATACCCACTAATTGAAATATCTCTAGTTGCTTATAGAGATATGGAAGAACTTTTGCGATTTCTGAAAACGCAATAAACGTAATTGATTTCTGAAGATTAAATCGTTGATGGTTAGCAATTAGAATATACCCTGTAAATTACGTTAATCTATGTATCTTAATTCAAGGAAATATACTTTAGATATGATATAGAATCAAAGAAATGCAATGGCTAGATAAGAATACGACACGCTTTAAATTGAATGTTCCTAGATGAAGAGATATAGAACGATAGAACTGAATAGGGTATCGCCGTAGTGTGGCATATCTAGTCAATGGAATTCGGAAAATATCTTGGGCATTTCTCGGGCATGCTCGTAAATAAAAATCCAAACACTTGAGCCGGCTGGGCGCTCTAAGTAGCGCTGAGTACTAGGCGAACGGAGATCAAACAGAAAAAAAAAAATACAGAAAAAAACACGCAAACAGACGGGAACTGCGAGAGACCAAGATACTTGGACAGTCAAAGATACATTCGGCCAGTCCGGGAGATACAAAGATACAGATACTGAGATACTTGAAAGTGTTGCGCAATTTATTGTGCGTGCGTACCAGATATATACATACACACATACACACACACACAGAATACATATATAGTATATATAGAGAGTTGATAAAGTACGCACTGTGCGTAGCACACACGTAATCACGAAGTTTTTGCCTGACTTCGAAATTGAATTTCACATCGAATTGGAATGCCCGTTGCCATTCCAATTGGAACACAAGTCACGAGGGCTCAGCACAGCCAAGCGGAGCAGCGGTTCTAATCAGAGCCGCACAGAGCAGTTACTAAAAGAATTGTACAAGTGTTTTTTTTTTTTTTTTATATATACTTTTTTCGAATTGGTTTTTGCCTTCCCTTCCACTCCACTTACTTCCAAGTAACTCTTGGCCTTGCCGTAAAGCCAACTGAGTTTATGGGATCAGCGCGTCGAGTAACTAACGTTTAAATATTTTGAGGAAACGAAAACCAGTTTTCTAAATGCGCTTCGTGCTTGACTCTGAAGTTCACTTGAGCAATTTCTTAAAAGGCAGCAAAGCACAGACAAAAAAAAAAAAAATAAATAAACAAAATAGAAGAAGAAGACTGCTGTGATCGGCTATTAGATACATCACTAATTGTACCCTGTAAATGAGCACAAGAGGAAGAGAAAGAGAAATGCGGCCAGTAAACGAAATCACAATCATAATTAGGCCGAGAGAGTTTACTTTTTTTACTTGAGCATAAGTGCAACACTGATTATACCCTGTAGAAGGGAGGAGGGGGCCGTAAATAGGTGGCTGGGTCACAGTGCAAAAGCAATCACAATTTGACCTGATCTCTAAAATAGATGTAAGATGTGTTTGACTTGCCTTTGCAATAGGTGCAGCACTCGTAATACCCTGTAAAATGAGTACAAGCAAGAAGAAATGCGGTTAACCCACTCAGCTGTGTAAAAGAAATCACATGAGCAATTAAGCTTAGAGACACACTCTAAAATATTTATATCACTAGTTATACCCTGTAAAATAAATGAAAAGGCGGCTAGCTCATTGATTTGTATAGACGTCATCATAAATGGAGTGAACAATTAATCTCTATAATAGGTATATAATATGTATTTGTCTTTGCAATCGATACAACTCCAAGCATACCCTGTAAACTGACTGTCGATTGGCTATCCATGATCACAATCAAATTTAGGGGGCAAAGCTTATACTAAAGGAGTATAAAGGATACATAACATTAAATATCCGCCTTTAGCTTTGAACTTAAGAGTGAAAATAGTTGTAGGTTATCGATCATAAACTTATCGATCGATTTGAACGTTGTTTCCTATAAATAGTCTACTCCTCACATTCTTTGCAAGAAAACATATTTCTATTTATATTATTTTCTATATACCCAGGGTATGTTCTAACCGATCAGTCTTCACCTTTGCCTTTGGCGCTTAGCACATACAAAGCTGCAATATCATGTATCGTCTAACCCAAACGGGATTTACCTCTTTCGAAAAGCAACAACAACAACCATGGCGAATAACGAATAATCACATGAAAACATAATTATTGATTGGAAGCGTAGCTTCGCTCCCTCTCTCTCTCTCTCTCTCTCTCTCTCTCGTTCTATGTCTAGATATGGGTTTTATGGCCAGCTCAATGCCCCGACAAGGTTTCCCGCACACACATTTTGCAAGCTTTATGCAAGCCATATGAAATTTTGCCAACTCAACTTGGATAGGAATCGATGTCTATTTGACTGTATTGGATTGAAGCAATTGCGTAGAGTTCTTAGGGAGTATATGGAACTAAATGAACCATTGGGCTTACATATATGGGACTTTTGGGGTTAGGATGAGCTCCATGATCTGCATAGATAGAAGTGTGTGGGGTTGAGGAGCTACATAAACTATAAATGCTTAATATATGGAAAAAGCTGTAGTAGAGTGGAATAAATGAGAGCTCCAAGACCAAGATAGACTACATGGGATCTATCATTGGCTTTTGAGGTTGTATGATCTGCAGAAGGTTAGCTATTGATAGATAATCTCTGTATAAGCTAAGGAGATTCTATGGGCGGTATAGGCTATCAAGAGAACTGCAGACTATTTGGAGTAGTATGTGGCTATACAGATTGTAAAAGATAAGTGAACTATGATATCTATACGGACGACGTAGGCTTTACTGGATGTATGAGCTGCAGTGACTTTAGGACTACACAGACTGTATAAGCTAAAGGAACCGTCAGATCATACAGACTTTACAGAGTATACGGTCGGAACACAGATTGTGCTATCTAGACAGATTAACGGAAATGAGGTTATATAGAGCATACAGGCCGTAAAGATTATATAAGCATGA